ATTTTGTTTTGATATATAAGTTGTTCGGTTTTTTCATCTAAAAGCGACATTAATTTCTTGACGACCTAATACATTCTTTCATCAATGTTTGCTTGATAAATGCCTTCTTTACTTCTCATAAACTGCTATCCATTTTTAACTTCCATTAGAGATATATAAACAAAACTTTCAAAGTGAAAAGAAAAAAAAACACAGATGAACATTAAGAGGTTATTTATAATGGAAAGCAACAACAGACAGGATCGTGAAATAGCTGGTTAATGAAAGCGCATCAGGAATAAAAACTGCTTATCACCTCAATTATATGGAAAATAACACAGAATTTTTAAGATGAGTACAATTGGAGTCGTAAGTTATATCTCACTAAACTAAGTATACAATTTTCTCAAAATGAAATAAATAAATTTAAATATTCAGTTTAAAACGTGAATGTACACCCACAGTAGTCTATTTCTTCATTTGTATCTTGATGTTATAGTAGAAATAAGGATCTTAAGTAACTAGCTCCACTAATATATAGCCTTTTTATCGTTTAGTAGAACAATAGCCTAACTACTTGTATTGCAGGACATATGAAGCTGCACGGTCAAAGTTAAACCAACAACGACTGAGTCTTTTTTTTCTTCCTTGGATGTTCTTTATCATTTTAGTATACTAACAAAAACTTGCTAACACTTAAGTAAGTACAGCATGTCTTAACAATAAAACAATTATTCTTTTCTAAGTATTTAGTAACTTTCACACTACACTTACAACATTTTTAATGATAAATCCAGTTTTAAGGATGTTTTTGGTGTTAGTTGATAAAGGCTTGTTTTGTGTTTGTCTTGTAGGAAAACGTTCAGAAATTTCGTCGAAGAAAACAGTTTAATTAATCGCACAGATAAATAAAGGTGCTGTGTCCAAGCTACCTAACTATTATGTTTTCCTATGACATTAAATAAATATCCATTTCACTCTCTAGATGCTTGAGTTACGAGATTGTTGAACGGATATATTGTTGAAGCAACTTATGTACATGTAAATTGTGTTGCTTTTCCAGATGGATGTCCTTCTTGATTGTATTATGTACTGTTGGTTTGGTCATTTGGATAACTTTTGCCAATGACCTTTGCATTCATGGGATACTCACTTGTTACAAGACACCGCAATTTCCTTATTATGGCTAGAGTGCAACTTGTTGCAGGTCCCTTTCTGGGTGGTTCTGGTGGCCCAAGGTGATCCATATTCCTTTGTGTTACAATGCCATTAAGTAGAGCGAATATCACAGTTTTGAAAGTTCTAAATTCACTATCTGAACATATCTTTATGGTCTATGTTGATGAATATTTTGATTGGGAAAGAGCTGTTGCATTCCCTTCCGAGAGGTGAATAGGTTTCTTTAGCATTGCACTACCTACAACCGCTAAAGAATGTTAAAATGTAATTACGATGCTTGCTGTTTTGATTTTATATCGGCTCTGGTCGTCACGTGACTTGGTGATTTGCATTTTCAAAATTGCTTTAATATGAGATACTCAACTTTCTGTATTAGGATTATGGGTTCAGTGTTTCATCAGCTTTCGCATTT